CTGTCTGTGTGATATCATACAAAGATTTTTTCTTAAGGTTATAAAGGAAGTTGACAGATATTAATGATTTTTTTCTCTTGACCTCATTCAACAATAGAGTGAGCAGAAAAAGAAAGGACGAAAAAAAAAGTAGGTCCATGGCTTCAGTGTATAAAATATTCTAGAAAAATATGAAACTATTATTCCTGGTAGACTAAACAATTATTTTTGTAGGATATATCCATTTTCAAAAGGATAATAAAATAGCAAAAGTAATAAATATGAGACATTCTTTTAAAAATACAGTAACCATTAACTTTCTTCTCTCTCCTCCTCTCCGCTCTTTCTCTTTCCTTCTTTTTCATTCCTGTTTGAAGATGGGGACTGTGACTGTACAGGAAGTAAAACAATATCTTTGGGATAAAGATGGGCTTGGATGATGAATCAGTTCAAATATTTTCCACAACACAGGTCTCCACCTACAGGAATGAAATCTGACTGACGTGTGAACAATGGCCTAACGATTGTGATGGTAGTAAATTCAGTGACACCTGCGGTGGCCTCTTTGATCTTGGTTTTAGGGCGATCAACTTACCGGGGCTGCCAGTCTCAGTCTCATGATCATGTTCCCAATCAATTAAATTTTTCAAAAAAGTCCAAGGAACTGAGATTCTACGACCTAATCTCATTCCTTCTAACAGTTTACACACTACTCATTTGCTTTTTAGTTGTTCATCACTCAACAATTACACTATTCATACAAGGAAGGCATTTCCACTTTGAGTTCCTATCAGTTCGTGTGCTATTAGCAAGAAAAATGAAATCAGTGTCTACCATCAGAATACTTTTTGCAGTATACTAACAGAAATGATTTACATAATGATAAATTCTTTGTCCAATGTTATCCATGCTTTTTCCTACTTAGTTAAGATTCTCCAAGGAAAGATAAATCTCTTGAATTTTTACATGTGGTTTTATGTAATTTTGAAACATTTGAAAACTGTTCAGGGCCACAGCAAGCTCATCCAAGGTGTTAGCATAAACAGAAAAAGGAGACATTTCTGAGTGAATAAATTAGAAAATAATCTCCTCTCTGGACAGTTCCTTGGCCCTCAGCTGGTGAGAGGTCAATGCCTTTGGTATTCCTTCCTTTGGTAAAAGCCACCCTGAACTGAAGCACTGTGAAAAATACCTAGCACCCTGAGGCAGGGGTCAGTCTACCCCAATGAAACTGTTGTCCCTCACCCTATGAATTCTCCCAGCAAACACTACTGATACATTAAAATGCAGGTATGCTTAGGAGTGTCTGATAGGAAGGTGGAGATTTGGCCTACGAGTATCACTTGGTCACAAATGCCACTGTAGACAAAGCAGGAGGTTGAATCTGGCTTTTCCCTGGCCTCCCTTCCCTAGTGAGTCTTCTCTAGGGTTTTGGTGAACTTAGGTAAGAAGTCATAGGGTAGTCAGGGCCGCTGGCTTAGGGACCAAGGAACACTTCAGGGAGGAGGATGAATCCTTTTGTTCACCATAAAAATTCTGATTTCAGAACTAACTCAGATTTAAAGATCCTCCAAATTCTTAGAAGAAATAGATTTTTTTAAATCAGAAGTGTAAGGCACACTGGACCTGCATAGGGAGAGTTAGTAATTTACAAATGTGATTGTGAGTGAGACACAGTTTGCTTAGTATTTAAGTATCCAGGCTCTGACTGCTGAACAGATCTGGGTTTGAATTCCAGTTCTGACCCTGTTAGTACATTATTCAACCCTGTCAACTTCAGTTTTCTCATCTGTAAGATGAGACAATTGTAGTACAGATGTTCTTATGCTCTAACTTTTCTAAGAATTAAAGATGAGATAAATATTAAAGCACTGGGCTTATTATTGTCACCTCTTAGAAATCCTATCAATAATGATGAAGATTAAAAAAACTTCTGCCTACATATATTTACCTTTCTGTCTCCTCTCCCTCTTCCTCTCCCCAGTCCAACTATAGACTCAAATTCCACAGAGGGCTAGATACCAATTCTGTAGGAAGGTTATATTTACATATTTACTTGTAGCTCTAAGGACAAGAGTATTTGGATTATAAAAATGAGCTGGGCATGGTGGCATACTCCTGTAATCCCAGAACTCTTGAGAGGCTGATGCAGGAGAATGAAATTTCGAGGCCAGCCTGGGCTATTTAGTGACTTAGCAAGTCTCTGTCTCAAAATTAAAAAAGAAATTTTTTTTTTAGAAAGCTGGGGATGTAGTTCAGTGCAAAGGCCCTGAGGTTATTTGCCAGTATCTCTCTCTCTCTCTCTCTCACACACACACCCAAGGACAGTTGAATTTTCTAACATTTCTAATTTTTACTGTTATTTTCTAAAACAAGTTCTTAGGATTTTTGAGTGCTTCATGTTCAGTTGTTTATATAGTTTGCTTCTAATTTTCAAGTTATGAAATAGCACCAAAATCCAAAAAGAAAATTTTATTTCAAAGAAAAGTTAATATTGTCCACAAGTGATTGCAATAATCAAGGAATGGATAGGGAAGTTTCCAAATTTCCCATGTTTTCTACTTTATGGAGAGGCCAAGTATCCAATTTATTTATGTATTTAAAATTTTCTAGCACTGAGGATTTAACCCAGGGCCTGGTACATGCTAGGCACTCTATCCCTCAACTACATACACCCCATATTCAGGGTCCCTTGAAATATGGTAAAGTAAAACTCTGGTTCAGATGTTCAGTTATTATGGTTTTCTGGGTACCAAGCTTGCTTTAGGACTTGATATTATTTTTTAGCATTTATTGGACTTACTCAACAGGTCTACCAGCCAAGTCAATCTCATTTCCAAACAATATTTTAAAAAAATACAGAGGGGCAGGGATGTAACTCAGTGACACAGCGCCTGCCTGGCAAGTCCTGAGTTTGATCTCTGGTATAAATAAATAAATAAGTAAATAAATAAATAAATAAATAAATAAATAAATAAATAAATTCTCTATCTCAGTGAGATTTGTGGCACCTGAAAATAACCAATATACCTTTTTCAAGCAACAGAAACCGAAAGGGCGAATATAAAGGTGAAGCCAATGGGTATCAAGGGAAAGAAACCAGCAATCACGAACGGAAGAAGCTCTGCTCTGGTGGGGTGGGATAATGTCACCATGTGTGAATTACAGTTTTCCAAAAGTTGGCATCTGTGCACGTCATCGTCTCCCCCCGTTTGAACAGAACAATGGAAGCGCCCTCATAGTTTCCCAGATGAACAGATTCCAGCCCTCTCCCTAGCCCTTCAGAAGAGGGGCGCAGTGCTCAGTGCGGAGCAATGGCACTTACTTGCTGCATGGTCGGGGAGTGTAAGGCAGACTGGACCTGCACGGGGAGCTGGTTCCCAATGGGCTGCTGCATGGCGAGCGGCTGGTGTTGCTGCATGCTGAGATGCTGGTGAAGAGGTGGGCTGATCTGGAGGGGCGGTGGCGGGGACACAGCCACGTTCGCTATTGAGACAGTCACTGGCATTTGGTTATTCGGCTTGGGTGCTATGTTCCTAGGGAGACTAGGATGCATGGCCGTTAGGTGAGGATTCATTCCCGGTTGTTGGTGATAGTGGGAACTTAGGTACAGAGCCGAGTGGGCCTGGCTGGGTCCGTGGAACACTGACGGCTTTGAATTGATCAACTGAGGAGGTTGAGATGTCTTAACATCAACAGGTTCGCTGTAGCTCTGCTGAAATGAAGTGAGAAGAGTTAGGAGATGGATCCATGGAATGATGATTCTATGAGCAAGATGTTCTGTGAGTTTACTCACGAACTGTCATGTGAACCAACACCCATGGCAATTCTTGAGCCTATATCTAAGAATTCCTCCATTATTATTTTAACATAACTTATACACCCTAGTCTTATAACTTATTCTCTTTTATGAAATCTAAAATAATCTGCAATGACCCTTTTTTGTTCCTTTGACTAATGCTAATCTCTGAACTGCTGACTGTTATCATCATCTGAACAAAAAGATGCAGGGTAAGAGGGAGACAGACCGTCACTGCCCTAACGGGAAACATATTATAACTCACTTTCAAAGTAATTCATTTCTGCAGTTCTCCTATTGATTATATGTTCAGCTTTTTTTTCTTTTTCTATTCTCATAGAGCCTTGGCCTAGATATCTACACAAAGCTGGTTGATGGAAATGACTATGGAAGAAAAAAGTCCTAAAATACCTTTCTGAAGTCTTACAAAATTACATTAATATATCTTCAAAGTAACCATAGAACTCATCTTGATTTTTTTCTACAAAGAAGTTGGTGATGAATTGTTCCCCTTAATGAAGTAGATAAAAATAATCTCTCTTAGAAATTTTAGACTCCATCATAAATTAATATAATTTTGCCCTAAGTTTTTCCACACTTTCATAGGGTCATTTCCTAATAATCTTTTAATTGACTTAAAAACTAGACATTTCAGTGGAAGCTGGAAAGAATCAGGAATTAACTCTGTGGCATTTCTTCTTGGACATGAGCCTACCTCCTTGTGCTGAGAGAAAGAAACTGATACAACAAATGGAGAAAAAAAAACCAGGAGAAAAAACCCCCACTAACATGTCCTCTTGGAAAAAAAAGTCACTTTGTCACTTTGAAGATGCATAGCTCCCCTTTTTCTGCAAGTCTGTGTTGTGCTTCTTCCATTTACAAATCAGAGTGGTTTCTCTCTACTCTCGGCACTGTGACTATCGAGGCAAATGGGAGGACCATCTGTGTTCCTCCTGATCGGGTACCACCACCCAGTCTCCACAGACATGCCGAGGAACTCAAACCAGCTAGCTTCACTCTCACAAGTCAGCTTACAGTACTGTTAGCTTGGCAGTGTTTGTCCTCAGTAGTGTAAGAAAATGACAATGAGAAGGATGCTGCACACGTGTGCCAACTCCTGAGATGCGCGCAGGTATGGCTGTGGTGGGTGGACTCTGCGCCCCATGCACTGTCTCAGTAGTAAGGCCACATCTGACACTTGGTGTAACATGCAAAACTATGGGAATCTGGGGTCCTTTGAAGCCATGTATACTTCCCACAGAGCATGCAGCCAGGTGCACCCCCAAAATGCAAGGCCTTGCACCTCCAAAGGACCTGCTCATGAAGACATTTCCGTGTCAGTGTTTGTACAGTTTTCTGAGATAGGAATACATGTATAGGCTCCCTGTCTTCTGTAATGACATTAAAAATATCAAAAGGTGTTCAAAATATTTCAAAGAGAGGCTATAGCCCGAAGTAATTCAGAAGTTTTTGTTAAATGTAGCTCCTAAAAAGCATTTTCAATTACACAGAAACTTTGTAATTTTTTGTTTTGCTTTCATTTTTAAAATTATTGTAGTTGATGTGCAATATGGTTAATAATTCAAGGAAAAAGTCAAATAGGTCGATTCAGGCTATGTAAATAGGGACTACTTTTACATCAGAATAACATACGATGCAATCAGTAATACCGCAGCAATAATCCCATAAATGGCAAAGAGTATGTGTTTATTGTGTGTTTAAGTCATCCAGGAAAGTGCTTTCATTGTGTTTCAATTTCTTTGCTTTTAGCTGATGGCAGAAGGACTAATTTTGTACTCAGTCATGGACTGTATCAACTTCAAATTGGAAAGAAATTATATTTCATAAAAAATTGACATATGTTGGTACATTTTTGTTTTTTGCTTTATAGCTGTTTTAATCTAAAAATAATAAAAATCATTTACTTTCCTATATGATCAAAACTATGAAATGCATGTATTATAAAAATGTTTTCATTGTTAAAAATTTTGTACATACCTCTTCCTAGATAATGAAGTGACTATTGGCTACAGAAATAAAAGTGTTGAATTCAAAATAAACAATAAATGCAGTCCTCCTGAGCTCTACTTTTTTGGGTGTGTGGCACTAGGGATTGAACTCAAGGCCTTCCCAGCCCTTTAAAAAATTGTTATTATTTTATAAAATTTTGAGACATGATCATGCTAATTTGCTAAGTTTCCCGGGCTGGGCTTGACCTTGCAATCCTCAGAGTGCTGGGCCTACAGGCATGGGCTACCACACTGGCAAACTGTACCTTTTATATAATAGTATGTGGTCAACTATTTGGATAAAATGATGGATGGATGGATAGACAGATGAATAGATACATAGATACAGAGAAAGAGAGAAAGAGGGGCAGGGAAATGGTGAACTAACTTCAAATATTTTATGGCTAACCTTGTGAAGACCATCTTTGCTCATGATTAAACTCAAAACATTTTCTCCTTCCAGCCACTTGTCATATCCATTCTCCACACTGAAGATATAAAGACCAGTTCCCTAAACCTATTTTGAAATAGTAAGTTTTAATCACTCGGCCTATTGTAAACTCAAATTAAATTGATTCCCCAAAATAATGACTCACACAAATGAAAAATATTTTTTAAGATAGCAAGAGGAATGATTTTAGGGAGTTACTTTTTTTCCTCCTTTCTAAGTTATCACAAGTGGCATGCTACATAATATGTTCAGCCATATTCGTATACACGGCAAGCACTCCAGTATGAGTTTTCTCCCCGGGTTCTCTTTTTGCAAAGATTCTTAAATCATCAAGAAAGGGATTTTTTAAATGGTAGGGACTTGAATCCCTGTAGGCCATGCACCTGGCACAGTGTCGAGTGCATGGTGAGCACATGCATGTTTGTTGGATGACTGAATGACTGTTATGGGGCAGAATGCCAGGAAGACACTGTTGCCCTGGCTGCTACCTCTTTCTGTTCATCCCATTCTACTTTCTAAGGAATGAGGAAGCCTCTGCAGGCTTGGAAAATCCACAGAGCACTGGATCCATCTTCCTCACTCTTCTCTGCCCTCAGCATGAACCGCTGCCTGTCTGAAGGGATGAGAAATTCTAACCCTTAGTGCTGTCCTTGGTAGGTACACAGCGCTTTATGGCTCAGTGGCTCCTGGGTGGACTCCATCAGAGGGCAGCTTGCTAAATTCTACCCACACTTTGAGAATTTGTGCCTTTATGTAAAGGTCACTCATTTAGATGGGGAAAAGCATGCTCCTAGTTTCACTTCTGATTAATCAGAATAATGTGATAGGTTATCTGTAAATTACAAAAGCTATTTTTATTTTATTGTTTCAGAAGATAGGTAGAATAAGTTCACTTTCAATAGCAAGCAGCCATGAATTCACAATCTAGAATGGAATCTCAAGTGGAAATATGAAAAAAAAAATCACAAATTTAATAGACTCTCACTGTCAGTTTCTTCCAATCAAACCATGAAAGCAAGGCTTCAACTTTGCAAATCAATTATACTACATGTGAAGATCTCCATACCTACCATTAAGAAATTAGATCTATTTTCTCATACATACTAAATAATTTAAATTTGTTTCCACTCTCAGATATATGAACTGCTTTAATTTAGTGGTGGGCATCTTCTGCTGGTCTCATGAGAAATGTAATTTTATCAGTGTACCCTGGAAGTCAGCCCTTGAATCCAACATTTCTGAGGCAGGGATTTGCTTTAGCTGTAAGATTCTAAATATGTTCTGCTTCCTATTTACTTTTGGGCCACAGGTTCTGAAAGCTATTTTCTACATACACAAAAGCGATGGTTGTGGCAGTAGAAACCTTTTGGGTTTCATCAGTAGAGGCTTACTTTGACATGTACAAAATATACAAAGGACATAGGTCTGTACTACTTAAAATACTTATTAATCGAGTTGATGATCATCCAAGATAATTTCAATCCCATTTACTTTGTATTATGAAGAAATGTTGCACAGTGTATAAATGCCTCCACTCTGAGACGATGTGAGCTATAAAATCAAAGATTGGCGAAGTCATTGTTATTTAAAATAGCAAAGTATAAACACAAGACATAAAACTCAGTGAAAGCAACAATATAGGATTTGCTGAACCAAATCAAATTAATAGTCCAACTAATTTGATTCTTGTTTTCAGCAATGACCAATACTTGATACACAGGAAATTAAACAAAATTTATGCACCTATTCAATTGTGTGTGGTTACTTCTGGAAGAAAAATTCTTCCTGGTCCTTGCAGGTGATTAACTTATACCTTGAAGCATGAGATTTTGTTATCTTTAAATCATGATCTGGGCTCATAGAGCTGCAAATTTTATGTTAACAGTCATAAAATGTTCCATCCTATTTGCAAATTCGGACTCAGTATTTGTCTCATTATCTCTCTGTGGAATAGATTCTATAAGTTTACCTTATTCTGTAAAAATAAACCATTTAAAAAAATTTGTTTCTAATTCATTCTCATTCAATTGAAACTGAACATTGTTTCTTTCCCATTGATTATGACAGCAGAAAACTTTCTTAATTTAAATATTGTCCTGATGTGTGTGTGTGGGGGGGGTATAAAGAATTTTTAATGTACTTGAGACATTTTGGTACCCTATTTCATAAATAACTCCTTAATGTAGAAATAAAACCTCATATTTTATGTGTGACCTTAAAGTCATGAATCTGATTGCTTTTACTTAAGAAACCAGAACACAGTCATCCAAATGCTGTCTCCTTCCAGTTGGCACTTCTGAGAAGCTGTACCCTTATTTCAATAATGCTGCTTTTACTTGGGATATTTGGGAACTTCCCTACTGGAATTCTCATCAGAGCCAGTGGGACACTGTTTTACATATTCTCAGACAACTCTTTGTCTTGTGATGGTGAATTTGAGTTTTGGAAACTGC